GATGAATCTAAAGAGGAAGTAAAGAACACGATTATAGTTAACACCGAATCAATCCTTTTTGAGTAATCAGTTGAAGAAGTTGATGAACCTAAAGAGGAAGTAACGAACACGATTATAGTCAACACCGAATTAATCCTTTTTGAGTAATCAGTTGAGTTGATGAACCTAAAGAGGAAGTAACGAACACGATTATAGTCAACACCGAATTAATCCTTTTTGAGTAATCAGTTGAGTTGATGAATCTAAAGAGGAAGTAACGAACATGATTCTAATCAACACCGAATCAATCCTTTTTGAGTAATCAGTTGAAGAAGTTGATGAACCTAAAGAGGAAGTAACAAACATGATTATAGTCCACACCGATCAAGCCTTTTGTAAACTATCAATAACTCGCTTTCAGTTGCAACTTCATTGGTGAGTACATTAGAAAAGTTCCAGAACTAAACGCTTGATGCACAATTATCTTCCAATTCTTTTCCTACTTTACTGAAAGATGGTAAACAAAAGAAAATGTATTAACTTGGAAACCCAATAATAGACAGAACAACAATTATGAAACCCTATAATAGACAGGAAATCTTGTAAACATTCACATTTACAGCCAATAAAGAAAAGTGATACTAAAATGAAAGGTTAGGAAATATCCGTTACATTTTGGTTGAAACTACAATGAAAAACGACTGCTAATAATTTACAGTGATATTTTGAGTGTTATTAATGTTCCTTAAGTTAGAAAGGATGATAAGCTTCAGCCACATGAGCTACACATACTGTCTTACAAGAGGTCCAGTATTGAAATAATGCAAACCTGAGATGGTAACCACAATGGTGAATATGGTTATTTAGCCAACAATATTTTTCAATTTCTTATTACATAAGAATATAATGATACTTCTAACTAAACATCTCTAGCCACTAAAGAAACTTGAATGTTTGAATTTGAATACAATAAAATTAAACTGTTTTGTAAATGCGAGATCTTTGTATTCAAGTGTAACATGACAACATGAATACAAGGAATTAGTCATAATGTATAAAAAATGATTTCAGCATGTGTAATGCAGCAACTTATTACCACAAAAGTGAGCCATGGTGTCACAGGCGATGTGTTTAACACCTATATACCTGGTTCATAGTGAATCCTAAACAATCAACAGCTCAGTGCTACCACTGGTAGGATTTATGGCTGTAAAATATATCACTATCACAGCCTTTTCCAAGGAAGGATACATGTACAGCAGGATTGTTAAACAATGTAGAGTAATAATAATAATAATAAAAAAAAGTAACATTTTGAAAATGGGAGTCTTCAATTCAAACAAGAGTGCTTAAACCAAAAATAGGTTCTAAAACCATATCCTCAGCCATCCCATAGTAGCATAACACTCTCATCCACAAAGTGAAGGCTATAACAAAGAAAGAGAACCTTCTGACCCTATAAACCACTGCAATGAAGCTGGCTGGGCATATTCCTTGGTAGTGCTAACATAGTAAGTAAGGATTTGAAGTTGTCAGAAAATTACAAGCCTAAGCTTACTATCTTCCAGCCCTATCTTCAAATCAGTGGCTGTTTTTGTGAGAAAGGTTTCCAAAAAAAACAACTCACAGCAATCCCATTCAACCACATACTTCTCAAGTCTTCTAGATGCAGATACAATGAATTTTTTTTGCTTTTGATCTGCTTTAAATTAGTCTTGGAAGCTGATGATCAGTAGACTACAAAGTTTATCAAAACATGTGACTGAAGAATGATGTTGTCATCCTTCACTGAAGATTGTTACGATGGAGACTGCAGTGTCACACAACAGTATTATCAAAAACGAAGGAATTAGGACGTGAAACATCATTATTATAAAGTACAATCAACCCTAACTAAGTGTGAGATAGATACACGTCCTTCCATAGCCTTAAATAATACTCGCAGGAAAACATTATCAAAATTATCATGAATGGTTAGCTTTCCAATGAAATTAATAGTTTCCTTAACTCTTTTTGGACAAGAGAAATATAACTGATATTATGTAACTTCTTTCTCACAGTAGGATACTCAATGGAAGTTAACACAAACTTTCTAAATAGTATCCAGTTTCTGCTTAAAAAAATTAATATGATTAAACATTTCTAAAATTTTTTTAGTTTGTGAAATTTACAAACTTTGTTTAGAGACACTGTTTTGAAAAAACCAAAATAACATTAAAAACATTTCTTCTTGTCTTTGAACCCGTTTTATCAGAAATTTCCGTTGTACATATACAGTGTTTTAAACTTGTTGGATATTCATTAACATATCCATTTTGATACTTTACTTCTCCACTTGACCACTTCACCATTATCTTTGTCATGCTAGGTGTTGTGATTTTTAGCAAAAATATTCTTAGTCGAGAAAAAATCTATATCTAATTAATAGTCTTCAAAATTAGTGACGAGGAACCCACTTTGAGACTAATAATGGCTGGAGACGGCTTGAATGGGTAATGAAGAAAAAACTTTAATATAAGTTTAACATAACAGCAAATGTACAATGTTTCAACAAGGTTTTGTACCTGATGATGACAAAACCTTGTCAAAACGTTATGTTAAACTTATATTAAAGTTTTTTTCTTCATTACCCATTCAAGCCGTCTCCAGCCATTATTAATTAATAGTCTATTTTCAGTAAGTTCCCGAAAACAGACGTGTGGCGATTGAATACGATAAACTTAACAATATAACAAAAAAGAAAACAAGTTTGTGTTATCTGGATAGTTTACCTTCTTTACAATAACACTCTCTGAAGCTAACAATAATTACCTGATAGCTTAACACAAGTATATTATTAGGAACAAAAACAAAAAAGAAACTATAAAAATATCCAGATCTATGATATATTTGTAAGTTTTGTAACCTTTGGATTAGAACCTTCTGTCCACAAACCACCTATTGCTGCCAAAACCACTCATCTATTTGATACTGATAAGGAATCTTTTACATCCATTCTTTTTTACTTATCTTCAAAGATAGCCACATGCTGCGACATCATATAAGGATGGTAATGCAGGGCTATAGTAATAAAACCACTAACGGAGAAAGGAAACAACTTGAAAAATAAAACGTGGATCATTAGATTTCCATGGGATTAGAAGAAAAAAAAAATCTATACATCTGTTGTTTACACTCTTTGGGGTTTCTCAGAACTGAAAGTTGAAACTTTTTTTTCCTCATTTCCTTCATGAAATACATTAATTAAATGTTATATAAAGCTAAAATATCAATTATAAATACAGTAAAATATTGTTACATATCTAACTTCAACATTGAGATTTAAGGTGAAAGTACATATCAGTCATAATAGGGTTTTCTTCCAGAATAAAAGAATATAATTATGATGTATCTTCATTTACAGAGTTTCAATTAAAACTGGAATTTAAGATCTCGAGTGCTAATCAAAAATATTATGGTGAGCCTTCGGCTTGCTTTAATATTTGGTTACGTTACTGATGATCCGTTGCAATTCATTTACAAACATGAGACATGAAAATCTGGATACCCGAACTAAGCATTTAAAGTAGATTATGTGGAAAACTCAATAATTTCACCTGTGATGTCTGATATTCACCAAAAAATGGCTTATAATCAAAACCAGGACCCTCCAAATTCATAAGTTGTTGTCTTAGGCTACCACATACAGATGCATTATGCATTAGGGGTGGTGGAGTATTAACTGATGAGAAGGATGGTGAAAGAAGGCACACTGGAGCTTTACAGAAGTTAGACTCCACTGAAAAAAAAACACAAAATTATATGCAAAAGAAATAATATATTTAATTGGAATTTAAAAAAAATTTTAAAAAGAGTTTTAAATATTGTGTATATGTAAAGTATAAATCAACCATGAAATAAATATTACAAATATTATAATGAACATTTTTGATTCTTTAATTATGTTACTTCTGATTATGAACTACAAAACTTTTTTTTTGTTTATTTTCTCAGGTTTTGGAATTGTTTCAATTAAAATTTTATAGTTATTTTACTTGTATGAATAGTTCTTTTTACGCTTTTGTTAAAGTGACAACAAAACCCGTAGCCAAGGTGTAAGGTGTTGCCCATTAATAAATATTTTTGAATGAGTACAACTCAACACCTTAAAATCTTTTTAGGTCGTCAATGTGAAAGATATACATACACCATTATGTAATGGTATCAAAAGAAAAATTATGTCCCACAGTGAGTACTTGGCATGATATATGTATACTGCTAAAAAATGCTATCAAAAGCAACATGAATTTATACAAAGGGGACTCAATTTTGAAATATAAAAGTTTCACAGAGTACTCAGTTTTAATATTATTACTAATTTTTTTATTATCAACCAACCCATCCCAATGATACACGCAGAAAAAACTTTATATAATATTAAACAGCTTACCTTCAGATATCACAGTGCCGAGATTTGGCTTTGAGAAAACCTACATGAATTAAAAAAAAGATTTCCCAAGGCTCTTACATATACAAATAAATAACACAATATTTCTAAAAAACAGAAATCTCTAGACAACTTTACTCCATTTCTATGACTTCCCACTTGAATGTTATTATAAAATCTGACTATACTGAGATTTAATTCAGTTAACATTAGAAGATCTTTAAATTTACTACTATTCCATGTGTGCATAACTGATAACTAATTAACTTCCAATAAGATGAGACTGTACTTGACAAAATTAGAGAATCGTTAAATCCAGTTACTAATTTGTGATTTGATTTGGGAAACAAAACTAAAGTTAACATATTTATTACCTAATCTCACAATAGATACCACAGTTTAGCTATCTCTCTCTCTCAGAGAGTTGCATGCCACTAGCCTCGAGGCAATAGATACCACAGTTTAGCTATCTCTCTCAGAGAGTTGCATGCCACTAGCCTCGAGGCAACTCCCACCTAATCTCACATAGATACCACAGTTTAGCTATCTCTCTCAGAGAGTTGCATGCCACTAGCCTCGAGGCAACTCCCACCTAATCTCATATGATTTTATGTAAATTGTGCCACTGTCATAAGGAGATAAAAGCCCTCCACCAATAAAATGTCAACACACCTCCTGGTACAATAATTCCCCCTATGTATTTTCACTTGCGAAACTTCATTCTTTGACAAAGCAAGTAAGAAAATGTGCACCCAAAGTGGGGAGGATGGGTGAGGAGGTGAGTATCTATCAAAAATATGTTTTCAGGTAGGGAAAATGTTAACTTTTGGGATGGTAAGTCATCTCCGCATAGGGTTTAGCTAAAATCCTACAATGATATGGTGGAGGGATCGGTTCAAAAATTACCTATACGAGTCCCCATCATAAAGCAGCTAAGAAATACCTGATGTGAGGGGCTCAATAGGGGCACACTCATGAGAGACTGCATCTCATGTCATCCAGGGTATACTCTTCACCTGTATAAGAAAGTGGGAAGAGGCAAAGAAGCCAAACTGGTGTAGCAGGGACAGGCTAAATTAGAACATGATCCCTGTCTGAGTATCTGCACATAACTCGTCAAACTGCCAATACATGTACTGTGGTTGGGGAATGTTCAGACCTTACCTTGTGTGCACACCTCAACTCTACCATCAGACTCTACAGAACAGATTCAAGCTGTGGGAGAGGGGCTCACTGTCATGCAACATGGATACTTTTGTATGCCTCAACTCGACTGTCAGGCTCTACAGAACAGATTCAAGCTGTGGGAGAGGGGCTCACTGTCATGCAACATGGATACTTTTGTATGCCTCAACTCGACTGTCAGACTCTACAGAACCAGATTCAAGCTGAGGGAGAGGGGCTCACTGTCATGCAACATGGATACTTTTGTATGCCTCAACTCGACTGTCAGACTCTACGGGGCCAAAACCAGCTGCGGACAGAGGGTATGCTAGTGATACTTCACAGTTTCGTATAGAGTGCCTGCCTCAACTCTACCGTCATGCTCTACAGGACTAACACCAGCTGCAGGAGGAGGGCACTGTACTTATGCAGTATGGACCTATGTAGTGTGTTCACCTTATTCTACTGAGCAGATAGACATGTTATACATATATATATTGATATGGTACACATCTCAATTCAACTGAACAAACTGTATGGGACAAATCTTATTTGCAGAAGGACAGCACTGTATGGTACAGTATCATCCATATTTAATGTGTGTACAACTCAACTGAATAGGCTTAGATTGCAGGAAGATGGTACAACTGACAAGTGTGATGTATCTAATTTATATATTAGGTGACTTGCACTACACTGATAATGTCATCACCACCCCACTTTTCAGCATATTGGTACTCCTTTCTCTAGCCCCATCAGTTGAGTCCAACTGATGAGGGTCCACCACCTCAATGGCTAGGAACTGGTAAGTAACAAGGGTTTACTGTGCTCCACTCAGTGAAGGGAAAAGGTGGAATTTGCAGGGGGGAACCCAGAACATACCATCAGTCCTTTAGTTCAGAAAGGTTTTTTACTGGAAAAAAACCAATTTTTTAAAGCACATGTACGTGAAGAGAACACTCTTCGTGTGACCAAGTGACCAATGTCAGAGAAGCTCCATAAACTCAATGGGAAATATAGGTGAAGGTCTGGTATGGAGTGTGGTAAGGAAACACTGGAGGTGGTGTTGGAATAGTCCAGCCAACAAGACAGTTCCTTGGTAAGAGGAGGAGGGAGATGGATAGTTGAGGACAATTGATCTTGAGAAAGGTTCCATTGGTTAAATTGGGAACACTATCAATACCTCCAAACAAGAAAGGCAAAGGTCATGGAGAAAAGAGGTAGGGAGATGGACTTGAGAGAGGAGGGTATCCTTACCTAAATAGGAACTAGGTGAGTAAGGAAAAGGCAGAAGAAGTGGAATAGGCTAAAGTGGAAAAAAAAGGAGATGAGTTTCTCTGGAAAAGTCATCTGGAGTGCAGTAGGATGTTTCAGACATGAGGTATATAGAGGAGAGGTAGTGAAGGAGAGTAGAGAGAAACATACAGAAATGAAAAAAATTGAACAATGGAAAGAAAAATGGGAGATAAAGAATCTGCTCCCTAAACAGGCAAAAGTGATTCTAAGGACTGGGAATCAAGAAGTGAGAAACTGGAATGGTTGTATGGCAAAACATAAGAATTGGTTAAATGAGGGGGTGAGAGACAAGACTCCAGGTGTGAAGTTGGTCAAGGAACGAATTAGCATATACTAAAATATCAGGAGATGGAGAGGAAATACAAAACAGATTAGAGTGATGGAGTATTGATCGTGAAGAATCATAAGATATGGGAGAAAGAGAAGAACAGTACATACCTGAGAAAAAAAGGAAGTTTGAAAACTGTCTTCAACTGACAAAGTGGTTCCTAGAAGGTTGTCTTCAACAGACAAAGTGATTTCTAGAAGACTTCAACAGACAAAGTGGTTCCTAATAAAAAACCTGGATAAGGAAAATGGCAGTCATATTCATCCTCTTCGATCTCACACCAGGTGAAGAGACAGGTGCTGAAGACCCAGGATGTATGATGAGTCTCATAAC